GTCACTTCCCAGAAGGCCGCAGCGGTCCAACTGGATGCCCACCTCCTGCTGGGCCCTCCCCCAACCGACCCTGCAAATTTTGGCTGGACCATAGCACTCCAGTTAAAAACAAAAAAACCTGCAAGGGCTGCCCAGTGTTCTCAGCCTGATGTCCAAATTCCTTAATGTGATTTAAGGAGAGGTCTTTGTGACCTCTCCTGCCTCATCGATCTGCTCTGGGGTCCTACACTTCCCCCTGCCCCCATATGCAACCCCTTGCTGAATGACCTGAGCCTGCCCCTACCTATCTCTCTCTCTCTCTCTCTCTCTCCCTCTCCTCTCCCCCCCCCCCCCCCCGCCCAGGCCTCTCAATCACTGTTTCCTCTGCCTACAGCATCCCTGCGTCCACCCTACCCCCTATAGTCTGGCACACCTCTCATCTTTTAGACCTCCCTTTAAATGGGTGTCTGCCTACCAAGGATGCTCCTGACTCCCTAGCCTGCATTAGAAGGCCCTCACCTGTGCTCCAAAACTAAATGGATGGCAAGAGAGTCTAGAGCACTCTGAAGGCCTGGATGGATGAACTTGGACTTGACATAATGGGTGCCTTGGGCTCATTATAAGTGATATGGTGAATATGATATCCTTAAAAAAAAAAATCAGTCTGGCAATACTATACCCTTAAAAATAATCAGTGCTGGGGCGCCTGGATGGCTCAGTCGTTAAGCATCTGCCTTCGGCTCAGGCCATAATCCCAGGGTTCTGGGATCAAGCCCCGCATAGGGCTCCCTGCTCGGCGGGAAGCCTGCTTCTCCCTCTCCCACTCCCCCTGCTTGTGTTCCCTCGCTCGCTCTGTCAAAATAAATAAAATCTTTAAAAAAAAAAAAAAATCAGTGCTATCTTAGGCAAAAGTTGACTAAACCGGGAACAGGTGAGCATCTGCCTGCTAGATACATATTCCCCTTCTCTTTGGGTAAGAACCCCAGATTTTCCCAGGGGAAACCACCCCTTTCTCTCATTCTCTGTCCACTAGCTTGGGAGGAGCTGATGCTGCCCCAGTTGGGGGCAAGGGCCAATTAGAGCACCCCATACCCCTGGCCACAGTGACTAGCTCAGGGTCAGGCATGAGACCCCAGGTTGGTCCAACTATACTCACTTCTGGACACTATTTAGAGAAAAAGCGCTTCTTCCCACGGATGGCTATACTGATACGATGTAAGCCTAGAGCCTGCTGAGAATGACACCAACAACACAGAAGAAAGCTGAGACAACTGGAAAGAGACAGATGCTGACAGCTTTGTCTGAACACCTGGACTTGGCCATGGCTTAGCTAGGACAGACTGCTCAGGGACAGGAGCCGATCAGTTCCGTTTGGGACGTAACACAATTCCAGCTGGGTTTTGGTCACTCACAACCAAGAATCTTGACCCACACATAAAGGTAATCAGAATTAAGGGGACAGCACAACACAACACCAAAACAGTTCTACCAATCTGTGGACTTGCAGTTCCTGCTAAAGGTGATCTTTCAGAAGCAATCCACAACTCCATCTCAGTAAAGGTTCTGCTTGCTGGTGGGCATTTGTTAGTGTCACGGCCTTGCTACCAGTCTGGGCAATAAACCACCCATGACGTGTAGCCAATAGCCTCTTACTATCTCAGTCTGCTTCGACTGAATCTCTAACTCGATTCAGTACACAAGGACCACAGGCACACGGTTTCCCATTATTTAGCAAAGTAGAACTCTAACAGAAAGATTCCTTTCCAGTTGGAAAGCTGAGAATGTTAGGAAGAATAATGTGGTTCAAAAGCAATTCCCGCTCTCTACTATCTTCTCGATTTTTCTTTAAATCTCAAACTGTTCTTAATTATTTTTAAAATGGGGAGGGTTCCTAGGTGCTTTGCATGTCCAAAAAAACTTTAAAAAAAAAAAATCTAAATTCTGGGGCAGGCTGGGTGGCTCAGTCGTTAGGCGTCTGTCTTAGGCTCAGGTCATGATCCCAGGGTCCTGGGATCGAGCCCCGCATCAGGTTCCCTGCTCAGCGGGAGGCCTGCTTCTCCCTCTCCCACTCCCCCTGCTTGTGTTCCCTCTCTCACTGTCTCTCTGTCAAATAAACAAAATCTTAAAAAAAAAAAAAAAATCCTTTTTAATCTTTCCTCTCCACCCACACTGCCCTAGATCAAGCCAAGAGTATATTAGGGTGACCAGGACTTTCCCGGTTTTAGCACTGGAAGTCCCATGTCCTGGGAAATCCCTCAGTCCCAGGCACACCGGGATGGTTGGTCACTCTTCATGTCAGACGAAGCCCAAGCCCCATTCTACCTCCAGCCTTATTTCCTACAACCACCAGCCCCACATTGATACTCCACAAACCCCAGGGTCCCCCTCCCACATCCTGTGGCCCCACATGATGGCTCTGTCCTTGAAGACTCTGCTCTGGTGTTGCCTCCCCCAGAAAGCTTCCAAGGGTTCCTACAGAACCCTGGCTAGAGATCCCAGCACTTGTCCTGCTCTACAGTCACTGGCTTTATGGCTGTCTCCCCCACCAGCCTGTGAACTCCCTCAGGGAATGAGCTGTTCTGTACCTATGGCCCAAGATGCTTACTATCAGAGCCAAATGAAGAACATCACAAGCACTGGGGTGAGCACTAGCTGTTTATGACACTTTTCCAAGTCATTTTGGGATCTTCTAAGCCCCACAGCAGTCTGAAAATTGCCAGGTTCCTCAGACTGTAATATGGATTAAGCTGATCTGCCTGATCCAGGACAGGCAGCTCAGGTTTCCAAAAGCACCCAATGGCCTTTTAACCCTAAACAATGAACCTGGGCAGTTCCCAGACACTTCAAAGGAATCTGAGAACCTTTACCATTCCCCGGCTGGCTGGTGGGTAAAGATGCCCCATTGGGCAGAGAGACTCAACCAAGTTGAAAGTCTGCCCAAACTGACTTAGGAAGCAGCTTCCTTCAGAAAGACAGTGCAGTGGTGCGAGCACTGAAGTCAGATCCAGGCTTCTTGACCGTTTCCGTTGTCACCTTTTGGCAAGTGACTTAACCTCTTTGAACCTTAGTTTCTACTTCTATAAAATGTAAAACAGTAACAGTTCCTATAACTCAGACGTGTCAGGACTAAAGGAAATAACACACAGGAAATCCTCAGTAAGTACCCAGCACAAAAAAAAAATGCATTCAATAATTATTAAAGTACTTTACAAGGGCTGGAGGCAGGCAGAGCTCGGTGAAAGCCTGCAGGTATCTGGATGCTGGTGGGAGGCCCAGCCTCCTTTAGATAACCATCCTCCCCTTCTCAGCCACATACACCCACTCTCTAAATTCCTGAAATCCTTCTGCCTCTCCCTTTCCAGTCCAGCTGCTGTCCCATTTAAGATTCCTGACTTCCCTACACACTCCTGTCCTGTGCCTCTCTCCTATGTCCTCTCATCACTTCCCTAAAACCATGCCTTACGGCATACTGATCCCTTCTGCCCCCCAACTCTGAGACTCACAAACGTTTATGAAACGCCTGTTCCGTGCTAGAAAAGACACAGCTGAGAAGCACAGCACCCCGACCCCTGGCCAAATGAGAAGCCCCAGCTGATTTCCCTCCCACCAATCCTTTCCCTGGGCCCCTGTCTTCCTTCTCCCTGCTTCCCCCCTCTAACCTTCTTCCTTCCCATTAGTAATCTTCAGAGCTCCCTCTGGAAACCAGCCTATTTCTTACCACCAGAAGATTGCCTACTCCCAACCCAAATGCCCCCCCCACTAGATTTTCCTGCCTGAAGTCATTCCCTCCACAAAAGTCTCTACTTTCCATCGCCTCACCACCCCCCAAAATCCTAGGTTTGTCTGCATGCTCTGCACCTGTCCCCAATCCACCCATTTTTTCCCCCACTCTTTCGGTAGCCACTGAGCTCCTACTGTGTGCCAGGCACAGCACTAGATGCTGGAAATACAGCTGTGAGCAGAACAAGCAGTCTCCGCTCTCCTGGGAGTACCAGTTTAGGAGTAGACAGAAAAGGAGTAAAAAAACAGGGTAAAGGCAGATAGTGAAGACAGGCATTGAACTGAAAGCAAGAGAAAGATCAGAGGGAAAGGAACTGAAGTGGGGAAGCACTTTAGGTAGGGTGGTCTGGGAACGCCTGACCTAGCTGATAAACACAGCTACAACTATTAGCCACCTACAGCGTAAGAGACACTAGATCAATCTCTTTCCATGCATGACATTATTGAATCCTTGAACAGTGAACACCATCCCCATTTGCAGATGGGGAACCAGAGGCTCAAGGAAGTGAAGTAATTTGGCAAAGGTCACACAGCCATTAAGCGGTAGAATTAGGATTTGAATGCAGGTCTGACTGCAAGGCCATTCTGTGCACTTCTGCTTCCCAGGACCATGTTGGCCACCTGTCCTCCCCCAGAGCTCTACTTCTGGTAGCACCCTCCTTAGACTCCAAGGGAAAAAAAATTTAACGATTGTCCTTTATTGAGCACTTGTTCATGCTTCGTTTTACGAGCATTCCCTTACCCAACCCTCAAAACAACCATAGGGAGTAGGTGCTGTCACTATAAGCACTTTACAACTGAGGAAACTGAGGCCTAAATTCACACACTTAGATTCGAACCCCGATCTGACTCCCAGGGCCAGATCTCTGGCCCCTAAGCTGTCCAGCCTAAGAAGTACCACCCCAGAAGCTTGGTGCCCACCGCTGCCCCCGGGGAACAACAAACTCTGCATCCGTAAACTGAAATCTATGTCCTTACTTTACAAATGGGGATACTGAGATTCTGAGAAGCTAAGCCACTTGCCCAAGGTCACACAGCGAGGAGCGACGGTGTCAGGGTTCGAACCCAGGCGCCCTGACTCCAGAGCCCTCGCTCTTAACCATCGTACAGCCTCTCCCGGGGGTCTCTCTCCGCCTTCCACCTCGCTCTCACACCTCGCAGCGCCCCCAGCCTGGGGCTATGCGCCCCCAACCCCACGTCCAGCCCCGCGGCCTGGCCCCCTCAGCCCCCAACACACTCACTTGAGGTGGTCCAAGGAGTGGATGTTGCGGGAAGACTTGCCATGGCCCCCGCCCACCCAGCTCCGCGAGCGGCCAAACATGTCGGCGGCCCCGACCCGTTGCCCGCCTCACGGTCTCATGCCCGAGCGGCCGAGCGGCCGGGCGCCCGCAGCGGCAGCACAAGCGGAGGAGGCAGCCGCGGAGGTGGTAGAGAGACCGCCAACCACCTTCCTCCCCGGCCCACAGCTCCGCACTGACATTCAGCCGGAACCGGCCGTTCGACCGCCGCGCTTTACGGCCGCCGCCACGAGGAACGCTGGGAAGTGCAGTTCGCTCGCGAGGCCCCCGCCGACAGGACTCTGCGAACGAACTACAAGGCCCGGCGTGCATCGCGCAACTGCGGGCCTGCGGCCTTGGAGAAGAGGCGGAGCGAGAGGAGGGGGAGAGCCTGCAGTATCCGAGGGTGGGCGGGAATGGGAAACCTGTGCGCGCAGGCCTGAGGAGGGAATCGGTGAAGATGGGTGCTTGAAAGTTAACCGCAATGTTTACAATCTTTAGCTTGTATGATAAGAATAAGAATAGCTATTGCATGGCGCATCCTATGTGCCACCGTCCTGAGCGCTTTACATATGCTGATATTAAAGCTAACCACCAACCTATGAACTGGGTACTAGTCCCCATGCTACCTACGGCGAAACTGAATCACAGAGGGGTTGACTTACCCAAGGTCATGCAGCTAGTCCGCGCGTGGTTCAAACCCTGGCACCCTTATTTTACGCCCCAGTAAGTTAATCTGTACCAAATCGTCAATGGTCTTGACTGTCCTTACAGCTTTTTTTCTTTTTCCACTTCAACTTAAAAAATAGATTTTGAAAGGCCTTCAGGCAACAGTGTACCAAAACTGAACGTCCTCTGCTGTCAGAGGGTTTCTCTAGTCTTCACCACTTCCCAAAACTACCACATTGAAGAAGAAGAAAAGAAACCTCCAACTTCCCGCATGAGCCAAAAAAATGTATCTAAATTTCTGTCCTGGAGTAGGAGTGAAGCTCCCCGGAGGCAAGACTGCCCGGTTCACCCTTCCTTCCTTCCTTTCTACACTGCAGTTATCTAAGGCCTACTGTGTCCCATTAACTGTGCTCAGTTGGGCTGAGGGCCCATGTTCTCCCCACTGCCTAGCACAAAGTTTGGCACATCATAGGGGCTCAACAAATATTGGCAGAGTGAATGAGCGACGGAATGAAGGTGTATTTCACCTTCAGCAGTTGGAGATTTAACGGTTTGCTCTGTAATTCACCTAAAGGGGCAAAGAGACAGTACTGGAGAAAAACGGGCAGTTCTAATCTCCAAACACACACAGACTTAGCTTCTTTCCAGGCCCTCCCTTTTCTCTGGGCCTAGATTTCCTCATCTGTACAAAGGGGTAGCACCCTACACAGCCACGTCTAGCCGCAATTAAGCGATGTATGTAAAACACCCAGCTCAGTGTGACCTGAGATTTAAAGGTCTGTCCTGGCGCCTGGCTGGCTCAAGGTCAGCAGAGCATGCCACACTTGATGTTGGGGTTGTGAATTCAAGCCCCACTTTGGGTGTAGAGATGACTTAAAAATCAAATCTTTAAAAAATAATAAAGGTCTGTTGAACTGCTCTGGAAGGCGCTTTGGGCAAGATCAGTCTCCTGAAAGATATACAAGGGTGCTCATGAGAAGGGGAATCAAGGAAGGTGAGACTCACTTTTCTGTGTACCTCTTGGTGGTTTCAATGTTTAACCACGTCCTCTTTTCAAACATGGTTTACAAAGCAAAACAAGCCACCCCACTGCAGCAGGTCTGACCTGCCTGGGAATCTCTTTATTCAAGTGTCCCTGAACCCTATTATGCACATCCTCGCAATGGGCGGACCTTCTGGCCTCCAGAATTTGGAGAGACGGAGGCACTGATTAATCTTCCCCACCACAGAAAATTGCCACTTTGGAAAGTCCGAGATTTTCACTGGTAAATTCACCGTCCCCCTACCCTGCCTCCTTTTGACAGGTCAACTGAGTCGTGACGCCATATCCAAGTCCAAGGGGGGGCTGCTGAGGAAGCTCGGGGTTTTCCTTCAGCTGTTTTCGCCTTTTGGATGCGTCTGGTTTTGAACTGTGTTCTGTCTCTCACCGCGCCCCCCCACCCCGCTACTCCCTGGGGGATTAGCAGAGCCAATTGATTTGAGACCTGGGCGGAGCCCGGAACCGGGGAAGCAGCTCAGAGGCCAGCGCCCCTGAGGGGCGGAGCGAAGCTGTACCGTCCCCGGATGGCTCGGGCCAATGAGCGCGGGAGTCGAGCGGGCCAATGAGCACGGGCAAGGGGCGGCAGGCCAATGAACGCGGGGCCGCTCCGGAGGCGGTGCTCGGAACGCGACCAGGAGGGCGACGCGGCGGCCGCAGTCATGGGCGCTGGGCCTGCGGGGGCGCGGAGGGGGCTCGAGGAACTGCCGGGCGGGGCTGGAGAGACCGCCGCCCGGACTGGCCCTGGACGCTGAGCCGCGGTGGGGTTTCCGCCGGCGCTGCGAGGGCCTGTGAGCGCGAGCGAGGCGCGTCGGAGGAGCCGGGCAGCCGCCGGGCATCTCAGGGGGAGGGCCTGCCTGTCCGCCAGGTGGGTCGAGAGGACCGTGTGGGCACATCTGGGGGTGCGTGGACCCCGCCGGGCAGGTTTCAGGGGCCCGGGCGCGTCCGCAGAGGCCGGCCCACACCGGCGGGGGCACCGCCGGGGCCCAGCGCCGCCTGGGTCCAGCCCCCGGGGCGCCCCTGGATGGCTGAACTGCCCTCTTGCCGGCCGCCCGGGCGCCGCAGCGGCTGAGATCGCTGGGATCGCCGGGCCGCCGCCCTCGCCGCCCCCTGCATGCCCGGCGCCCGGGTCGCGGCCCACCTGGACGCGCTGGGCCCCCTGGTCCCCTACGTGCCGCCGTCTCTGCTGCCCTCTATGTTCTACGTGGGCCTGTTTTTCGTCAATGTGCTGATCCTATACTACGCCTTCCTCATGGAATACATTGTCCTCAACGTGGGCCTCGTCTTCCTGCCCGAGGACATGGACCAGGCGCTCGTGGACCTCGGAGTGCTCTCCGACCCCGGCTCGGGCCTCTACGATGCCGACTCGGAGCTCGATGTCTTCGATGGTTACTTGGAGTAGGCTTGGCTACCGTCCTCCCCTCCCCCCAACGACCCGCACCCCTCGGCCTGGACCAGCCGCCCAAATCATGCCGCCGCTGCTGGTTGGGGGCATCGTCGGGCCAGGGATGGGATCCCCAGGACGAAGCCGCCTCCGGCCTCCAAGACCTGTGAGTGCCCTCTGTTCCAGAGGAGGGTGGGTTGGGGGCGCTGGCGAAGAGGATGGCATCTCCAGACCAGACACACACCCTTCCCCCAGGCTCCTGGAGGTCTGTTTGGATGCCAGCAATGGCCAGACCCGGTTAGGCCCTTAGCTGGGGCTGGAAAGCTTTCTCTGATGACGGTGACAGTTGTTGAAGAGGGGAAGGGAGGCAGAGCCTAAGGGGTGTTTGGGTTAGCCATGGTACTTACTGCCACAGCTTGTAAGTGCCTTTGCACCCAGATCCCTTTGAGGCAGAGCTGTCAGCTCCTCCCTTCTGCCTCAGTCTGGCTTGATGGTGACCTTGGCTTTCTGGGGATTCCCACAGTCCTGAGAAGGATAAAGATTTGGAGTGTCAGAAGAGGTAGCAAGCCAGGCAGTGACCGCCTTTGTCCTGTGGCCCCTGGGGTCTGGGTGGGGCCCGGCTGAATCAGAGAGAGGAGAAACCTCCTTCAGCAAAGTCTGCGCTTACTGTTGGCCTTGGGCTTGCTGCTACTTGGGAGTCGGGTTTCAGGGTGCCCCAGCTCGATAGTTGCGCAGCTTGCATCTGCAAGGACTGCCAGTTTTGCAGGTTGCTCTCGCAGACCAGGCAAGCTAGGGCTGGCTTTGCCTGCAGTGTTTGCAAGGCCTCAGGGAGCTCTTGGGCCAGCAGGAGTAGGGACCACAGGATCTTTGCACTGAGGTGTTCAAGTCCTGCCTCTCGGCTGTGACCAGGAAGCTGTGTGTCCTGCCCCACCTTGTGTGTTGATGGGAGGGAAATGAAGGTCCAGGAAGGAGAGGGGACTTGGCCAAAGTCTCAGAGCCGGCAAGAGAGGCAGCTGAACAAGATGAGAGAGAGAGAGAGGTAGGCAGGCTGTTGGGTCTGGTGAAGGTTCATGGGACTTGCAGGCATTCTTTGGCTGAGCTCCTCCACTGGACAGTGTGCATTGTCACTAGGCATAGGGCCTGAATGGCAATGAAGGGAGGATACTGAGGTGGCAAGAGCTCCTTCCAATGCCACTTACGCCAAGCAGGCTGAGTTAACTCCTCTCCTCTGTGGCCTGCCTTTGCCAAGATGACCATAGTCATAGGGAATGCAGGGTGGGGCAGGACCTGATATTGGTAGGGCTGAGCGCTCCCCCTGAGAGGTGGACAGTGAGATTTCTTTGATAAAACTTCATTTGAGCTCAGTGAGACCTTAGCAAGAACCAAGTGCCAGGTGGAGAGTGGGTCAGCTGCCCTGCATACTTACCCAGTCTCCTTACCTACCTGCCTGCCATCCCTCCATCCATCCATCCGTTCTTTTAACAAATATTTACAGGGTACCCACTGTGCCCAGTGTGTGAACACAGTGAACAAGAGAGACTTAGCTGTGGCCTCCTGGCCCTTGGTGAGAAAAGACAGATTCCCAAACAAGATGATCAGATTTTTTGAGAGCCATGAGGACATGTAAGAAGGACCTGGGCATCCCTATTGAGTTCCTGCTGCTTTCTCGGCACTTAGAACAGTGCCTGGCGTCTAGTAGGCACTCAATAAATGTCTGTTGAGTGAGCGAAGCAGAAGAATAGAGATGGGCTGCTTTAGAAAGGAGGGTCAGGGAAGGTCTCTTTGAGGAGATGACACAGTTGGGCTGAGGCCTAAATTGGTAGCAGGAGCCAGACTGAAGATCTGGGGAAAACTAGTCGAGGCAGAGGGAGTCGCTAGTGCCAAGGCTGTGGGGTAGGAGAGTTGGTTTTTGCAGCAACCTAAAGGAGGCCAGTGTGGCTAAAGAGCAGCCCCAGGAGAGGTCTGTGGGGCAGGTGGGGGCCGACCGTACAGGACCTGGGAGGCCACGGCCATGAGCAGTGGGAAGCCATCAGAAGGTTTGAAGCAGGAGATGACACAATTTCAATTCACAGTTTGCAAAAATGACTTTGGCAGTTGTGGG